AGGTATGCCAGATCCGCATACATCCCTTCTACATGCACCACCCGGAAATGGGTTACCGACTGTCCCTTCATGACAAACACATGTCGGTCCAGTTTTTGATATTATGCACTGTGCACCACCTGCGCAAGGATACGTATCACATCCTAAAATCAAAATAAATAGCACCAGTAAATAATACATACTTGAAATTTATCATAGTTGCTTTCAGTGAACACTGACATCAAAAATTCAATTAAGCTAAATGTTTGCTCGGTGGCTAAGTGGAAATGACATTTTCAGCTATAATTATAACAGATACATTTCGTTAAAGATATTAAAGTGGTATTCTCAATATTATACATGTAAATGAAATATTTAAACTAACTTACCAGAGATGCATTTTCCACCTTCAGGTTTAGTATAACCAGGATTACAACGACACCAGGCTGCATGGTTTTCAACTTCACAAAATGCATTTGATCCACACGACACGCTACCACAAGGTGAAACACAGTTGTTATTTATACAAGCCAATGTGTTTGGGCACTCATTATCCGAATTGCATAATTGCTTTTGTGTCGGTCCATCTTGAACAGAACCTGTAAATTAAAGATTAAATTAAAACATGTTTATTTCTTTATATATATAACAAAACTTATTGATATGTCTTACAGCCTGATTTGTATGGATCACCAATCATATTAGGAGGACAAACACATTGATATCCCCCTTTTCTATCGTGACAAATTGCACCATATGCACATGGAGCGCTGTGGCATTCATTTCTGTTTGTGCAACCAGTATATGGATCTCCTTCATATCCAGACATACACATACAGCGCGGAGGGTCACTTGGCGTGCACATTGCATTAATTCCGCAAGTAAACCTTTCACATGGACTTTTACATTTTTGTCCATCGGTAACGTCTAAATAAAATGGAGGAGGACAGACACATTGACCTGGTTGTATGCACTTTTCGTTGGGGAAGCAGTCTGAATCGCTGATACACCTCTTTTGATTTAATGCACAATGTCCCGATGTAGAGTCTTTGCTATATCCAGGTGGGCATTTACATATATATGAACCTTCTGTATTGACACACTCGGCTCCAAAACCACATACTGGTTGTCCAGAAGCGCATTCGTCTTTATCTTCACATGTACCGTCTAGAGATTGCGAGAAACCGGCTGGGCAAGCACAATAGCTTACTCCATCTGATATAACAATGCACTCTGCGCCTTTTCCACATTTATTGTCGTTTGAACATCCAGATAGAACACAACTTCCGTTCACTACTTTGTACGGCAATTGACATTGACAATTTATATCACTACAAACTTCACAGAGGTTGTATGGATTGCCACTGTATTCCGATGGACATTTGCATTCATAACTACCAGGCAAATTTTTGCAAATAGCGTTCAGACCACAGGGTGATCGTCCATATAGAATACATTCATTGATGTCTTCACACACACCAGTCTCTTTACTTCGGGCGAACCCTTGAGCGCAAATGCAAACATTTTCGCCTTCATGAAGAACACACTGTTCACCTTGTGGACAAGGATTCGTTTCGCTACATTCTGTTGAAATTTGGCTTGGTATACAACCGTCAACATATGGATCACCACTAAAAGCACCAGGACATTCGCATAGAAAACGCCCAGGTAAATTCTTACAAACAGCTCCAGAACCACATGGATTTTCATCACATTCATTGAAATCTTGACATCCACTTGGAGATAAAGGGTTACCCGTATAACCACTTCGACAAGTACATTGTGCCACTTGATCGTGTAAAAGGCATTCTGAATTACTTCCACACTCCAAAGTTTCACAAGGATCTAAAAAGAAATTATATATAATTAAATATGTGTAATTATTTGAACCACAACATTGAACACGTTAGCCATTGACTAGAAGCGGATTTACTTATAAAATATTCGTAAAATATCAACTTGTAAAAATATAAGTTAAAATCCCTAATCATTTATACTGTCACAGTTATATAACGAAATATAACATTTGATGAGAAAACAATAATGACGCCCGGACATCGCTTACATCCTTTTCCAAACATATCCGCTGATAGGTATTTATTATTTGCACAGGCAAATTAACAATTTGCGCATTCTATTTTTAGTTTTCTCTCTTATTCTTACATTAGATACATCTTAATTGTTTCTTTTATAATATTACTAGCTGTCCCAGCGAACTTCGTACCGCCGTAATAAAAGGGGTTGGTGTTAGAAGGGTGAAAATTTAGGGTTGTATGTATTTTTGTAGAAAAGTATACTAATTTGGAATACTGTTGGAAATTTGGAATACTGCAATATACAAATGTACTAAAGCGCCGTCTATTAACGTATATCAGTTTTACGTAGTCTATGTGTTAGGAAACAAAATTGAGATGACTTAGAAGCAGCCATATTGACAGTTCCTTGACAAACTTCAACGGCGTGAAAGTGCTGACGAGAAAATTTTCGTAAAAAGTAAGTAATAAATAGGCTTGAATCTTGAGTATCTTATATTTATGTGTTTATATTTGTACAAACCTTAAGTCTAGTATGTCAGTTGTTGAAATAAACATTTATTGTAGAAATTAATCGAAACACAAGTTCACAAAAACGTTTTAAGTTAGAATTGGCTATGTTGCTAATTTGGAATACACAAGGCTATTACTCTGGTTGTTACGTTTGTGACTATTGCAAAGTCTAGAGAAATGTAAGTGTTTTAATATAAGCTTAAAGTTATTTTTTAAAATAAATGCTTTAATTTAAAGCCAAATAACTAGGTATTCAGGTTAATCATTAAGTGATTGTAATTTGGAACCCTATTCCAAATCATATTCACTTTGGTTAAACTACGCCAATCTGTGATTTCTTAATTAAACCACAATTGATCCTACTTGTGATAATCCAAGGTTGTTAATTACTTTAACTTGAATAAAATGTAAATTCTTCTGACATTAAATGCACTGTTTACTTATTTATCTCTTCATCCATGTTTAATAAGTTTTTTTTTAAAAGTCGTATTCCAAATTTACATCTTTTCCCTATATCATAAAATAACAAAAACAAAAAATTATGTCCAAAAAAAATTGTGATTTAAGGGTAACCCTTAACATTTAGGGGGATGGAAAAAAGATGTTGCCCGATTCTCAGACTTACTGAATTTGCATATAAAATTTCACGAAAATCGGTCGAGCCGTTCAATTACACACACCGTGACATATTTACTCGAGTAGTAGTAGTAGAATTTTATATATTAGATATTATATTAACATTATAAGATCAAACAAAGACAATACTTTAGCACATGATACGTAAATTTTCCTGAACCGGTGTTCATTGGGCATGGCCTTGCATGTGTAAATTATTTGGTTAAATACATTCTCGTTAAATACTTACGTCTGCAGTCATTTCCAACATTGGGTTCGGGGCACAAACACCTTGAATTTGGATCACATAAAGCGTTTCCTGGACAATCGTTATCACTTTTGCATGATAGTATTTCAGCGCATCGAATATGCGGATCAGGATCTGGAATAGAGCCTTCAGGGCATTCACATGAAAACGATCCTTCGCGGTTGATACATTCGGCACCAGTGCCGCATGAACTGTCAATTTCACATTCGTTGATATCTGTGCAATGCTTATAAGCGTCACCTGTAAATCCTTCTGGACATTGACACTGAAAGCTCCCAGGAGCATTTGTGCACTTTGCATTAACACCACAACGCCCAACTGATCCTCCAGCGGAGGTGTCACATTCGTTAATATCAATACAACCTGCGGCGATGTCATTTGGATCGAATGTCCAGCCTTCTTCACACACGCAGTATGCTTCAGAACCATCAGGCTTACAGTATGCGTGTTCACCACATTTTACGTCTTCGCACGGTGCACGACACGTAACTCTTGGTGGAGATCCAATAAAACCAGCGGCACATTCACATTTGTAACCGCCTGGTGTGTTAACACACAATGCGTTTTCTCCACAGATACCTTGTTTCGCAACGCACTCATCAACATCTACACAAACTGATCCTTTAGCGTCGAATCCATCTTTACAGAAACATTGATTTTCAATACATTCAGCGTTATTGGTGCAGTCGAAGTTTGATTTGCATAGTGTATTTACGTCGACCTAAAACAAAACAGATTATGAATTGATCTTTGTAAAAATAATTAATTGCTATATTTTTTTGTATTTTGCATACCTGTTCACAAGCAATCTGTGGATCGGGTTTGGCTCTGTATCCTTGAGGGCATATACAATTGTATCCTGGATCTGCATTCTCACAGAGCGCATATGTGCCGCAGGGTCGTTCAAATACTTCGCATTCGTTTAGATCGCGGCAGCCACCCTGCACGCGCGCATCGCCAGTGTACTCTGGCTTGCACACGCACACAAAGCTGCCAATGGTATTCGAGCACACCGCGTGTTCGCTGCACACTGACTCGTTACTCTTACATTCATCCACGTCTGGTGTAACAAACAACGCACATCCAATTACATTTGCCGCTTTTGCGGTCATTGACATAATACGCACATGTATGTAGGTACGCCGACAGCCACGAAGAAGAAGAAGAAAGAAACATATACGCCAGAACGACAGCATTCCATAAAACTGCTAAGGACAGAGAAGTGAAGAGAAGGCAATAGTCCATGTTGTCTTATGTAGTTCTTGTAAACAAATGAACGTATGTAGTATGAATCGTCGAACAGTTCTGTAGTAGCCGACGTAATAGTAAACAGACATCCCTGCAGTAACATAGGAAAATGTAGTATGTGTTTTTTTTTCTGAAAATTATTAGTTACATCGATTCGTCGCTCATCATTGAGGTGAATAGGTTAGTAGAAGCGTGATCTACCACGCGTCCATTTAGTGGTAGTATACAGCGAGACGCATTAGGAGTGTTACAGTTTTATAAGCGTTAGAGTCGTTATGTTAGATACTGTAGACGAAAATGTTAGCGTCTGTCCCACCTATGGGCGTACCGACAATCGAGCTCACCAGTGCAATGGACGTCTGGGTCGCCTTGAAAACCTGGTGGGCAAACGCAGCGGAAGCCGCCGGGGAGGTTTTCACAGAGAGCGTTGTGGCCGCACGAGGACTGAGCGCACTCGTCGTGGTCGCGGCACTCCACGCGGGGGTTCCCCTCGTAGCCCGCCGGACAGCTGCACTCGTACCCGCCCGCCAGGTTGCGACAGACGGCGCCCGCGCCGCAGGCATCCGTTTTCAAGCACTCATCAACATCAACACACTACAGAATGCGACAACACTTCGTTACAATAAACTGAACTAATAAACTGATTTAATAATTTGAATACGCAAAGCCTATTCCAAATACCCTATCTCGAATAGTCAAGCAAGACTTTATGTCTATATATACAGGGTATAAAAAACCTCTGACAAAGCTAAAACTACACATTATGTCCACCCAAACAAGTAATATTACAAAATATTATACGTGGGACTCATTTGTATTTTTAAGTAAAATAATTGCTTTTTTTTTCAGTACGCAATGTATAGCGCGGCGCGCTACTGTGGGGCTACGGGAAGAATTTGCCTGTGTGTGCGTAGGTGTAAGTGCGTTGATAAAAAGGTTTTTAAATAACGCTATGAAAATATTTATATATAAATCTTGAAAAAAAAACTTTGTCTTTGAACAATTTCTCCATAACCATAAATTTCCCAGGAAAATACGTGCCCTTCGACTTCGTTAAAGTTTTTTTTACAGGTTGTATAAGAAACTCTTAGTAGATTTTTACAAGAGCATTTTTTTCGTTTTTGATATAAAACAGTCTTCAAAATCATTTTATATTCGATAAATGCAAATAAAAAAACACGTTTTGACTACTTACGCCATCAAATGGGTTTCCGGTATAACCAGCAAGACATGCACATGTGTAATTTCCTGGGTAGTTCTGGCAAACAGCATTGACACCACAAGCGCCAGGTCGTCGACACTCGTCGATATCTACAATAAATAAAATTACATATTGAAATCAGTAGTTATAAAATTACTTAGTCATATTTATGTAAATACTATACATAGTTACGTAGATTCTATGTGAGTTTTATATATTTTTTTTAACAGGGTACCGTCAAAAAAATACAACATAAATATGTATTCAAAGGCACTTTGTTGTAAACATACCTCGACACTCATCTTCGCCATCACCTTCGAAACCTCGGTTACATTTGCATATGAAATGAGCAGGTAAATTGCAGCATTCTGCATTTTCAACACAGCGAGCCGCAATTGCAGGATCTTCACACTCATTTATATCTTTTAAAAAAACATAATTACAATTAGTGTTTTATTTTCATTTTTTACCATGATAAATAAAATGCATCGTAACAAGGAATAAAAATATCGACGCTTATACCTTTACAGGTGAATCCGTCTCCGACGTAACCGGGGAAACATGAACATTGAAAACTGCCAACAGTATTTGTACAATGCGCAAAAACGTCACATGGCCTGTCTTTACATTCATTTACATCTGAAAAATAATAACAAAATAACAACATTTAGATTGCGATCTTCTCTTAGTTCAATATGATAAAGATTTCATTAAAAACTTCGAGAATATACCTAGTTCCTGGCAGTTACATCCACCGAAACCATCGTTGCAATGGCACACGCCGTTTAGACAAGCACCATTAATACACTGCGCGCCATCTTCTTTGGTACAATCATCTAAAAAGATTATCGTCTTTAAGGACTTACAATCACGAAACAATAATCCGACTTATGTGTAGGTTAAGTAGATACATTCGTTTTAAAATAATTACGCGCACGCAAAGGATATACAACTCAGTCATTACAATGCACGTGGGGTTTTAGCACACAATATCATTTTTCATTCATAAATTGGTGATGTAAGGCGTCATAATAACAATAAACTATAGCTTTTGATTAAGTTGCTAAATAGTACTAAGTAATACTCATTAGAATAACTCTCATGCCTCTCCCACACCTGCGCGACGATGCTTTACTTCGGATGGCTTTGGTACTAAATGCTCTTTAATTAGCATTCGAAATTTTAATTAGTACTAACGTAATAAATAAGCGGACTCCGTGTCTATAGACGCTAGACGATAGCTTGATAATTTGAGATGCTAAAAGAAGTTGTAGAAGACGATAAGTTTGCAGCTGCACATAGCAGCTGAAAGAACGTACTAAATTCAAAGTTTAAACGCTAATTTTATATAATTTAGTACCAAATACAGCCTAAACTTCGTCAAGCAAGTGCAGGATAATCAGTGTGCGCAAATTTCGAAACACGTATGACGTAGTTTCTAAAGCTCAATATTCGAATTAAATAAGGAATATAAAAAATACAAAGTTCATGAAAAGTATAATGACTCACCTGTGCATTTTAACTCTGACTTAAGTTCATCGGATGCCTTATAACAATCAGGCACACCGTCGCATAATTTAGATAATTCATATAATTGTAATATTTGTGTCGATTCGTTTACTTGACAGCCAAAATAGCCGTCTTCTAAATTTAAGAAAAATACTTCTCGTTTTATTCCTAATCCTATTCCATATTGGTTTTGTGTCGCTACCTGTAAAATATTATAATATAATAATAAGTACATTCTGGCGAAGCTTAAAATATTGTATACTAGTGGCTCGCCCTCGCTTCGCTTCGGTGTAGAGCTGTAGTGTAAACTATAGTTTTTGTTCTCAGGCTTCTGCTATAAAGAATGACTTTATTTATATAATTACACGTGTTATTGTGAGTCAACCATAAAAGATAGACATATGCTGTTGCGGGATATTTTTTAGACAATTTTATGTAGAATATTTTCGTCATACATGATTTCTATGTAACCTTAACCATTAAGGCTGCACACGCGACGGAAGCTTAAAAAATGGAGTAACTTCTCCCGTTTTCCCAACATCTCCCTTCACTTCTCTGCTGCTATTGATTGTAGCGTGATGAACAGTATACTATAACCTGCCCAGGAGTATGAAGAATAATTGTACCAAGTTTCGTTAAAATCCGTCGAGTAGTTTTTGTTTCTATAAGGTACATACACACATACAGACAGACAGACAGACAGACAAAAATTTTACTGATTGCATTTTTGGCATCAGTATCGATCACTAATCACCCCCTGATAGTTATTTTGAAAATATATTTCATGTACAGAATTGACCTCTCTACAGATTTTTTATAAGTATAGATTAGACAATGAACTTAAATTTAGATTAGTAAACACCTTTAGTTACTATTTCGATCGAAACTAGCACTACTAGTAGTAGTATATTTTCCTATTTAGTTAGGATAGTAACAAATCAATTGAAGAAACAGACGCATAATTGACATGAATAGTAATATAATATATTACATACTAAATGTAATATATTACACACACAGGTGTGTTTACCTATGTAAGTAATTTAAGTAACTATTAGGTAGGGATTTTACTTTAAGTTAACATCCAACCTGGTAGATTTTTAACTTTTTTTTAACATTAGGGTAAGTAAAAGTTTTCATACGCGCCAATTTACTTACCGCGCGCAAACTCAGTTCTTTTTTTTTGACTTTTAAAAATAGAAAAAATAAAATTTTGTGTCTAGAACTTAAATTACTGTGTGTCATAAAACCTTTGTAGAGAGCGATAATTTAAATCGTATTCCTTGGAAATTTGCTGATGAGTTATTTCGTAGTTCGTAACGTACTAAAAAGACACGACCAGTTCAGCGGGTCTTTTTAGATATCATTTTTATTACCAAAGAATCAGGGTAAGATAGAGAAAAATAATAACATGTCAAGAATGTACAGTTAGTCAAAACGAAAACACTTAGCTGTTGTTTTTCATACACTTTTTTTTCCAACACAATACTTATATTTGTATATACTTTACGACCTGTTCAAAGGTATTTAGATAGAACTGTGCATCTAATGTGGTGTAAGTAAGTATGATATAATTATATTATCATCAGTTAACAGTTTGCACTGATTTTATGAATACCTAACCGTATAACGTTATGATTATGGTAAAAAGAAAATTAAATCACTCACATTTGTCGTCGTGACTAAGAGCGTCCAAACCACGAGCGGTAAGTTTTCTATGTACATTGTTTCTGTAACAAAAAGAAATAGTATACATTAATAAGATAATTATATTTTTGAGTCAGAATAGCTATACATCCCGGCAACTTCTTGGGAGACCACCAAATGACCATAGACAAAGAAACCTGCGCACAGTAACAATTTTACATACAAAAACGTCTACTGCGCAAGTTTATTTTTCTGTAGTTTCGCTCAATAACCTGGGGAATTTAAACCATGTAAAAAATCTTTATTAATTTATGTTCCTGCATTGAGTAAGATTCCAAGAGTTAGGCGATCGTTTCAGGGTAGGCAATGCGCGACTGATACTCAGTATCGTCAGTCCTTGCCAAAAGTGGTTGTCTAAGGCCCGTATTATAGAAAGATTCTCAGTAATTAATCTAGTCTTGAGCATAGTTAGAAAGGGATGCCGCTATATATAGCACATAGCGACATCCCTTTCTAACTGTACTCAAGTAAAGATCAACACTTAGTTGTCATTCTGTAATACGGGCTTACTATCAGTTGCGCCATCGCTCTTGTTTTACAACCTTATATAATTACTAGCTGTCCCAGCGAACTTCGTACCGCCATAAAAAATAAGGGTTGGTGGTAGAAGGGTGAAAATTTAGGGTTGTATGTATTTTTGTATGATGTATTTCTACTTTTCATTCCAATTTTTTAGTTCAAATGGAAACAATCACACTAATATTAGAAAGGTGAAAGTCTGTGAGTGTCTGAGTGTGTATGTTTGTTACTTCTTCACGTCTAAACGGCTGGAGCGATTTTAATAAAAATTGGTATGGAGTTAGCTGATACCCTGGATTATCACAATAGGCTACGTTTTACTGCGGGAAAATATCCCTAATAAACCGCGGGTAACACCGTGGAGCACAGCTAGTATGCTATATGCCTAATTTAATAAACTTTTTTTTCAGTAGCACAGTCATAGGATAATAATTCAATATTTACCTATACATTTTCAGATAATAAAATTAATGTTCTTTGTGTATATTAACGTTATGACTCTCCGCGTTGTATGATCAAATCAGACACTATTATTATATTTAAGCCAAATTAATGTGTTATTACTTAATTTAAAAAGCATTAACAGTTAAGTATTGGCTGTCAGCAAAGCGATCCTCTCGGGCCCGCTATCTTTAGTTTGGCAATATAACCCATTATTGATTCACTAAATTCAAAATTAAATGTTTGCTACCTTGATGACGGAACCATCGCTGGCGATATTTCAACAGTTCTTTCAGATTTTCACGTTATTATTGGCAAATTCAAAAATATTTTACAAGATCTAAATTATTCAAAGTGCGAGCTATTCATCCCAGAATCAAAAGGAGATTGCTCAGCTTCCATACATGTTTGGCCTAAAGACCAACAATCATGAAAAATTGTTTCCTAGATTCGAAATTATATATAAATTACTGTAGAAATGAATATTATTGACGGACACCCCTGAGTACTTCTATAAACCATATCCCCTTAATGATTTTGAGGTTATGTTTGCAAATAGGTACATAGGTATTAAAATAATAAAAAACAAATAAGTTATATAGCAAACTAGGGAAATCAAACCAAGTACCGAAATTATGTATTAGATTCAGGTACGTAAAGCATGTAGATTATAGATTGCCTGTTTTTAAAGTTAATGCATAAAAGTAACTTTTAAAATCAGGTATCATCTATGCATTTCCGGTTATAATAAGGTACTCTGTGACAGAATCTGTGTGTGAACGAGCCACAGATTAGAGAGAATTTTTAAACACTGTCTTTCTTTTTTCTTTCTTTCTCTCTTTCATCGTCATCTTTGACGATGCTATTCTAATTTTTATTGATGAACAAATTTCCAAATTTCAGCAGTCCTCTGAAAAGATGTTAAAAATTAATCCTCACATGGCTTTGTATTCAATTCGCTTTTGCGCTTTTGCTTCAAAATTCATATATTTTTTAAATAGCATAGTTACATTTTTGGCTTTTTCAAGGTCTACTGCCATCTATTGACAAATCGCTCAGGGAGATACTTTCCAAAATTCAAAATTGTTCATTTTCTGAATCTCGTTTTTCCCTGTTCGTTTCGGAGGACAAGGTACTCGTTATATTTCACACATTGCCCTTCTTGCTTTTCTATCTTCTGCACATGGTACAGTCGAGCTCTTTAATAAAATACTATGACCCTCGTTAGGCGTAGTGGAGCTGGCTCACCTTGCGCCAGGGAAGCTTGGTGAATGGACATGCCCGGCAGTAGATCCACCATCCTCCTCATCTTCTCAGAGGCAGTGGGACGAGCCACTCTGTTTGCGTCTTCAGAGAGATCTTTTAGCTTCCTCTGAAAATGCAGTTGAGCGTCCTCGTCTTCCAGCGGTCTTTCAGGCAGTCTGGTTTCTGGCTGCAAGCTCTTCCTTCAGTCAATATCGGGACTTTCTTTGACAGGAGCACTCACTATCTCTTGCAATTTCACTTAGACTTGGTGTCAAGACCAATCATCCCCATCGCTGTCGTGAGAGTTGGGACACCATGGTCTCTCGTGCCAAATGAGCGCTGGTCGAGTCTCCCGCCACCCCTGCATCAATGACGTCATCCGCAGGGCTCTTATCGCTGTCAATGTGACAGCGGTTCCGCGGAGCCTAGTGGTATCTTCCGAGACGATGGCAAGAGACCTGACGGAATGACGCTCATTCCTTGGAAGCAGGGTCGTCGTGTTGTCAAAAAGCATTGTCAATGGTGGCTTTCCGACTTATCAAAGATATGAAGTGAATGGCGCTAAGTATATCTAACTTCTCATTGCTTTAGTTATTTTCGAAGTCTCGGAACATGCTTTTTCGTAATTTTGTTATAAAAATGTGGACCGGGAAGCAATATTCTTAATTGAATTTCTGAGATACCTACTTGAATGTACTTCATTAGTAACTTAAAGTGATTGTTACTGTTTTTTACTGTTCTTGATTTGTAGGCCGAATCGACGAAAGAAAAATATTTTAAATTGTTCGTAGTTTCAGCCCGCGGCCCGACCATCACTAGGCCGAAACTACGGAAGACCCGTGAAGCTCCCGTGGGTCAGCTTTAATCTTGGAATGTCTGTAACACAGTTACACCTGAAATCATAGAGTTCTCAGCCGATTTTCGTATTTTTTTGTCTCAAAAATCGAAATCGAACCTATTACGATAATTCTCTTTTTTATATTTTTTCATTTCAGTATTTTTATATCATTTTGCATATGGCATAATAACTAATAAGTATATCAATAGGTATGTTTTTTACATCTTTTTTTCTAGGATAAATGTACGTACTTCTTCAACCGCGAAATTATTCAATTTCCATATATTTTGGCTTTAGTTATGTTGTTACAATACTGATACAAATAAACTGCAGCAAAGCGTTCGCATTCGCCCGGATTGCGAAGGGTGCGGGTTCGAGTCCCATCAGCTGCTTGGTCCGCGTGGATTTTTTTCTAGTTATATTTTCTTTAGATTTAAACATCAAGCAGTTACATGCTTTAAACAAATAAAAATTGTAACTATAATTGGTATTTCTTCTTTCAAATGTTTAATACTTGTAAAAGTATTCATTTGACATTGTGGGTTACCTACAATGTGAAGAGAAGGCGCTGCCTTACAGCTTAAGGATGGCTAGAGGAATTTCGACGCGGTGCGTGAGGGCCGCGGTAGCATAATTGGTCAGTGCATTCGCCCGGATTGCGAAGGGTGCGGGTTCGAGTCCCGTCTGCTGCCTGGTCCGCGTGGATTTTTTTCTAGTTATATTTTCTTTAGATTTAAACATCAAGCAGTTACATGCTTTAAACAAATAAAAATTGTAACTATAATTGGTATTTCTTCTTTCAAATGTTTAATACTTGTAAAAGTATTCATTTGACATTGTGGGTTACCTACAATGTGAAGAGAAGGCGCTGCCTTACAGCTTAAGGATGGCTAGAGGAATTTCGACGCGGTGCGTGAGGGCCGCGGTAGCATAATTGGTCAGTGCATTCGCCCGGATTGCGAAGGGTGCGGGTTCGAGTCCCGTCTGCTGCCTGGTCCGCGTGGATTTTTTTCTAGTTATATTTTCTTTAGATTTAAACATCAAGCAGTTACATGCTTAATAAAAATTATAACTGCAGCAAAGCGGTTACATTCACTTTAGAGAACCGGTGCCGCTGTTTACCAGTCAGTTATCGTAATCTTCAATCATAACAAAGATACATACTTCCTTCCCATTTAATTATTATGACTGTTCTGTTGTATAAAGATAACCCTCACATTATGATTTTCAAGAAAATCCTAAAAGTGATTGTACAGTCGTGGAGTCCTCGTGTTTTCTTACAGATAACTACGTAACTTTATTTATATTAAAATGCTCGTCAAAGTCACTTGCCTTATTTCATTGCCATCACACAGAAATCGACAACAACTTTAAAAAATTGTTTGACCAAAATCGGTCTTATGAGTGATATCAGTCTGCTGTCAAGTCTTAAACAATAACATTCTACAAGAATAATGCAAGTTGCCAGCCGTGTTTGCCTGCAATGCAACGGTTTTTTTTATCAACAAAGTCCAAGTTCAGTTCCATGTGTCAGTTTGACGCTTTATTTTGCATAACCGCTATTTTCTTTATTTCATTATAATGTCTTTGTAATTCCCATCGTCTTCAACATCACGCGTTCGTTCCGGATCTTAACTCGATTCGTTGTAGAGAATAGACTTTTTTAGATTGCTTACCTATTAGTACCTCTTACAATGCTGCCGTAATTTTTTCCTATTTTTATAGTCATTTCTTATTATGTTTTATATTTCGTACTCGTTGGTTAAGTAATAAATTGCACACTAATACAGAAAACGTGATACAAGCATATTCAAAGTTTAGGTACATACTCAAAGTTAATATTTTTTATTAAAACAACATAATTATAATGCATTACGTTATTGAATAATGAATCAATTTTCAACTACCAAGTTCACGATCCACTCATTATCTACTTAGTACATTAAATTGAATAATTGAAAGAAGAAATGTGTGTTCTAA